CTCCAAATATAAACGATCTTTCGCGTATTCTGGCAATTTGTCATTGATTAATATTTTCCACTGTATAAAGCGCCATGCCGTTTAATTATGAAGCAATAAATGCCTGCGAGGCTTGAAGGGGATATACTAACGCTTTGGACTTAATTACAAATGTAGGACATGCACTCAAGGATTTCTGGGAAACTGATGTCTGAGTTTAGAATTTGCAGAGACCTGTGGCTTTGTTCCTTTTTAGTACAAATACTGAAAAAATAAATCAATGTAATATTCAAGTGAGTATATTTTTATATTTGAGTTAACATATAGAACGGAAAGTAACTGGACATCTATTATTTATATAGACCCTCCACTCGGGGAATTCGGCGAAATTTCACTCAGTGATGTCATGATGATATTATATTTCCCAAAGGGGAATGGAAATAAACTCGCTTTTCTTTACTGTCGTTCCAATTGAAGTGTTGCTCAAATATTGATTCAATACATTACTTCGGGCTGACCAATTCATTTGATCAAGTTCCTCGAGATATTCATACACTTCCTGTGAAAGAGCCAATTCCAAGTATTTGATCATTTCTGGTCACTTCCTTTCTATTTATGATTGGTTAGTTGCACAAACAACAAAGGTGATTGGGGCATTCAAACTATTCAACAGGAAGTTTACAATTATACTAGGAAGTGTATGAATATCTCGAGGAACTTGATCAAATGAATTGGTCAGCCCGAGGTAATGTATTGAATCAATATTTGAGCAACACTTCAATTGGAACGACAGTAAAATTACATATCTTTTAGAATATTGCTGGGGCATGTTCAAAATTTGTTTCAAAATTTTCAACAAAACGAGCTTTCTTTAATGCTTAGAAACTCATAGTCTCACCACGCGTGGTTTTCGCGAACCATATCACCCAGGAGGTTTCGACGAAATATCCATCACGAAAATATCTATCATGCTGCTCATATAACATCAAAATAACTACTTATTCAAGATATATCTCAAAAATAAGTGAGAACAACCTACTTTACAGTTTTCGTAATCTTTTATATACGTGCATACGTACTTGTATCATCATCTTCATTGGCGAGCATAAATTCGAAGGAAAACTATATATCATCCACGACTTTATGAGCGTCATCCAACCAAGTTGAGTAGCTTCCATGTAAATCATTCCACATCTATAGAAAGACTCGAAGTCAGTACTGGCAACAATGTTGTGTTTACTCTTTTATTTCTTGATTTATAAGAGCAGACAATTTTCTTCGCCGATGGGGAACGAATAATGATGGTGTGTGTGAGTTCAATATATAGTTTTTAAATTCAAAGTTTAAGATTCCTCAACCAGTTTCAAATTTTACCAGCAGTATACCTTTACAGAAATAAATGACCATACCTGCTAACTGTGGCAGGTGATGCCTGATCGAGGTCCTTCGGTTCAAAGATCATATTTTGTCGCTCGCTCATCTGTATTATTTCACCGCTCATCAGACAGAGCTGAAAAAGCAAACGAAACAACGTTACAACAATTTCTTATATTATATTATTGTTTTCTGTATTCCCCCAACTAAATATCATTGAATAGTTGCCTTATAAAATAAAGTTAATTAAAGAAATCGAGCTTTGGTTTGAATGGATATGCCACTATCTGGAAAATATAAGCCCAACTTCAACGTTTCGAGTGAAAGCCCTTCGTCGGGTATGTTTTGTACAATATGTATTTCTTACTTCTTACAAAAGGAAGACACCTTTCTCGCCACCAAAGGGGTTTCTAATACATTGAGTTGTCTTCTGTAGTTCAAATTCCGGTATTATTTTTTCACTTAGTATACGCATGTGGAGAAAAATAAAAACGCACCATGCAGGTTCTGCAAATCTACGCTTTATTTATTTCATGCTCTTTCAAGCCCTTACCGATTGTCAATAAAATGGCTTTTAGGAACATTGCAAATTCCCTCAAGGGATGTGCAAGGGAATGTTTCAAATTTGCAAAGGTAATGAGGAAAATTGCAATCAACTTATAGGAACTCAAAAGAAGAATGCTTGACGTAGTGTACGTGTAAGTGTAAGGAAGAGAAATATGGCCTGATACTCAGGCTAACAAATTTATACAAATAATTTTCCTCAGTTCCTGTTAAAAGTTCTTAACTTCCTGTTACAAGTTCCTAACTTCCTGTTCTGTTCTGTGTATTGTAATCGACTAACAAAAAATCCACCAATGACAACGCTCAGGAGAGAATAGGAAGTCAGGAAATTAAAACAGGAAGTTAAAAAATCTATAAGGAAGTTTCTCTACATAGGAATACTGCAACAGCCAATAGGAATTCCATCGAGGGATTTGCATGGGAGTTTTTCAAAGATAATAAAGAAAATTGCAATTAAGTTAGGAACTCAAAAGAGGAACGCTTGACGTACTGTAGTTTACCTGCATGTAGTAACATAAAATGTATGTTTACAGGTATGGGAATTTTTACACTTCTTGTCTTCTTGGTATTTAATTCCTACTAGTATTTATAGACAGATACATAAAATCAATTTCTGATACAGGAATTGCTGAATATAATAAATTGTTTTTTACATATGAAAAATAGTAAAACCTATAATTAACCTTTTTATTGTCATCCAGAACAGTATTCATGTTTTCAATCCAAACAGCGTCAACTGGTCCATCAAAAATAATCCATTTCCGCTCTGGTGTGCTTAAGGACGCATGTTCCCGGAATATATTAGCAAGAACACCTAAAATAGATATGATTCACACCAGACATACTCAGAATCACGGTACACAAACTATGCCGTCCTATAATCTTGAACGGTCTGTGTCAGTGTAGGTAGTGCCAATAATAAGAAAGCTTCGGTTGATATACAGGGTGTATAAAAAAAAGCGCAATCCTCGACTAAAATGTAAATTGCTAAACAAATAATAGACGAAAACCTTAAAGTTCAGTGGGTTGTTTCTTAAATTTGACTCATTGGTTCGCGGGTAATAATACTTTACGTTATTGCGATTGGAGATTAAAAAAATTGAGATGGAATAACAAATCGTTCGCATGAAAATAACTGATCTTTTCATTAAAACAAAAAATGTTGCATTTTATTAAATGGATTGTAACAATAAGTATAATTACGGCTTTTCTTCCACTATTTTTAACTCAGTTTGAAACTTCAAATGCGATATAATTTTGGCTTGGACCATCTAAGCCGACTGACATCAACTTGCTATAATTTCTGTTTACATTACATCGCAATTCGATGACACTCTGGCTCAGACACCAGAATGTTTTGACGATTTCTAGCATTCG